ATAAAGCAGTGAGAAGGACAACAAACCTTGTCGTTTGACGCATAAAAAGTTCTCATAGGTGCCAAATTAGTGCAGATATAGAGAAAATTCCTCAAATTTGCCTGACTTTCAAGAACAGATGAAGGGCTCGCCTTATTTGACCGAGAGCCTATTCATCACAGACCTTTATAATGGAAGTCCAGGTGCTTTGACTCAGACCGCGAACAGCAAAAATGTCATACTCCGCATAGGCTACTCCCAGTAATGAAAACAAAGGCAACTATTATGCCCCTTTCTTACGGCCTTGGCATGCGTGATTACGGACAAACAAACACTTTGGGAAAGAAGACCAGCGGATAAAAATGTGGATGACCAGCCTCAATATATCTTTGTTATTAGGCTATTAATAAAAGCTAAATTACGCGAAAATGATATGCAGAAATTGTGTTCAGGAAACTAAACGTCACTCCCACTCCACAGTAGACAGCATGTTGAAGACGGCAGGGGGAAGATCTTTCAGAACAAGGATCTATTTCTGGTTACAGTCAACCTACGCATCATTCCGTACATTAAGTTCATATTTTGTCGTTGCACTGCAAATGAAAATCAGTAAGAATTATTTGCGTGGTCGTATAACCAGGACACGGAAACCCGAACCATCCACATTACGTATGGCATTGTGGATTAGGGCATTCAGGATTAAGGTGAGTGTTAGGGCTAAGGTTATGGTCAGATTTAAGGTTTGATTTCGTGTTAACTGCAGGTGTTGGTTTAGAGTAGGGCCGAGTTTAAGATTAAGGTTACAGTTAGAGCCAATGTTAGGACACCCTTCCTGAAATGTATCGCAAGGCCACACACTTTAAGTAGGCGGGACATTCCTATTCCCCTGTTTTGTCTAGTCACCTTACCTGAAAATAAAGCGTCAATTTCAATGTATCATGAGGTCGGAAGTAAGCAGTAGTATACGACCCTCTGCAGTTTTCCTGCTGCATAGACTTAAGAAAGAGCCTAGTCGGGCATATTTACCTCAAGAAGTCGTCCGTTATACTTTATTGACATTTGAGATATTATAAAGAGAGCCTATTGAGAAAAAGAAGACTCGATCGCTGGGCCAATATGTTTATTCGCCTGACCAAACCAAAGAGCCTATTGTTATTTCATAAGTAGCAAGATTTGATAAGTTAAAAGTGCACC